ATGTGCACGTAATCGAACATGAATCCATGTATTGAATGTTTGGACATGCCGTTTCAGTCTCTTTGGGGATTTCGGTGCGCGCTTGTCCTGGGTCTCGAGCACTCCAAGTCAATGCCAATGACTTGGATGCTTGGCGGTCGCTGTACAGCTCAAGCCCATGGGCATAAGAAAACGGTCAGGCAATGCTCTCCTGATAGAAACCCCTTGAAGCCCTACGTCCCTAAGCCCTGCGTCAATAAGCCCCCTACTCGGAAGCCCAGTTCTAACTGCGTGCCTCGTCACCCAGGGACTGTGCAGCTGCGTGAGACACCTGCGCCAAGGCCTGAAGGTCACCAAAGCGCCTAGCTCTGGTTTGATTTTGGAAGGCCTCTATACGAGGTGGGACAGGGTGGTTTAGGGTTTAGGGTTTTGGCGTCTAGGGCTTTCTACGGCTTTAGGGCTAAGGGTGTCAGGGTGGTTCAGGATTAAAGCTCCTCGAAGCTACAATACCTACGGTGGTTTCTACCATACTGTGGTTTTGCAGGACTTCGAATGTAGGCCCCAAAGGGGGTAACCTGCCACATTCATGGGTGATCGGGTTTCTGGAGGTACATCTTTGTGTGGACTGGAACATGCAACTGCTGAAGGTTTGAGATGAAGATGTCGGGGCAATCTAGGCCATGTACAGCTGCACCTGCTGTTCCACAGTCAATTTCCCAGCGTCTGGTTGCAAACGGTCTCAGGACTTCTGCACAGTCCTGAAACTCCGACTGTGATTCCACGGTGCTCAAAGCTACGAAAGGGGCTGTTTGCTGCCAACGGGTTTTGCCGGGGCCCTATACAATGGAAGAAACACAAACGCATGTCCCTAACATATCCCTACATAACCCTAAACCCCAAAATCCTAAATTCAAACCCCAAAACCCCTAAACCTTGTAAGACCTTGAACTCCCAAAGCCCCATAAACCCTAAACCTGAAGCCCTACAAGCCTCGAAGCATTATATCCGTATAACCTCCAGTATCCCTAGGCCCCAAAGACGTGTATCGTGTAAACCCTCAAGGTCCCTCACTCCTACAGACCCTTTAGTCCCTTTAACCCTATAGGCCAAAAGGCTCTCCTTGTAAGAGAACCCTAAGCCCTCAACCCGTAGCCCTAAACCCTGAACCCTAAAGCCAAATATCTCTAACTCTAAAGGTCCCTTGTAAGAGAACCCTAAACCCTCAACCCTCAGCCTTCTTAGCCCTAAATCCTAAACACTACACCCTAAAACACTCAACCCTAAACCCCTAAAGCCCTAAAGCCCCTAAACCCTAAAGCCCCTAAACCCTGATATCCTAAACCCTAAATACCCTAACCCTAAAAGTCCTGGGGCCTGGCAGCTGTTAGCCCCGGCGGCCGCCGCCACGCGCAAGCCGACCTCATCCTCGAGGAGGCCGAGGAAGCTCGTCCCGGGCCTTCGCTCGGGCTTAAGGATTTGGGGTTTGGGGGTTTAACTATTTAGCTGTTTTAGGTGTTTAGGGTTAGGGTTAGGAATTGGTTCAGGCTTTGGGGTTTGGGGGGCTCCACTTCTTGCTGTTCACATACTTGACGAATAGTCGGGTTCTAGAATCGCTTGTTTTAATCCAGGTTTTTCATTGCTGCTTTAAAATATTGGTCCTGGTAGTTTTTCTAAGAAAGAGATAATTCAGATTGAAAGAACTAGGCTAGAGAGTTCTGTCTCGAGAAGGAGGATTCTGAGGTTGCTTCTCCTGTTTGGGCCTGGTTAACTAGGGGGTTTAGGCTTCTAGAATCTTTTTGACGGTGTGGTTAGGACCTGAAGGGCCCAGGAAATTGGAGCTTCAGTGAATCTGCAGGCTGACGGCTCGGGGTTTAGGCCGCTGGGGGTTTTCGGGGTTTGGGGATTCGGGCTTTGACTTTCAAGACTGGGTCTACGGACTTTCATAGATGTGGAGGACAGAGGTTCAGGGGCCAATCACCGGCGTGCTTGCAGGATTACAGAATTGGAGATTTCGAACTGGATGAGGGTTCATGTTCTGTTGAGACGGACCGCAATGACGACAGGTGGGATGAAGCCGAGACCCATACAGCTCGCAGTGAACATCAGAGTAATCATCAGACGAACACTGAGAAGAAGCAAACTCCCAGTCGTGAACCACAGCACCAAACAGACTTTCCTTAACCGGGGAAGCAGATCATGAAGATGAACGCCGAAGCACATCGCGTCTGCACGCCAGCCCTTGCCGGAGTCCACGTCGGAGCTCATCAATGACCTCAGAGCCGAGCCTACACGCTGAGTGCTGCACCCTAAACCCGAAGCCTTAAACTGCTTAGTGTCTTCGTGATTGTAGGATTTAACAGGAATTTCATGTGATAGGGAAGCTACGAATTCGAACTTAGCCTTAAGCTACTGCAGTTTTGCCTGGGTTTCCTTACCCAAGGGCACCACAGCCCTCTCTGGGCCCAAGGGCAACCCAGCCCTTTCTGGGCTTCCTTATGCATGGGCAGCCCTGGCCCTCTTTGGGCCAAACGGCACAGCCCTCTCTATTGACACTGCCGCCCCGCGGATTGACACCGGACCGGTGCCACATTGACACTGTCAATCCCGAGGGCGGCAGTGTCAATCCCCCCCCGCCCCCTCCAGATTGACACTGCCGCCCCGCGGATTGACACCGGACCGGCGCCAGATTGGTCAATCTGGCGCCCCCCCCCCTCCAGATTGACACTGCCGCCCCACGGATTGACACCGGACCGGCGCCAGATTGACACTGCCTGCCGCCCCCCCCCCCCTCCAGATTGACACTGCCGCATGTAAGCTCCTGTTCATTCGGCCTGATCATGCCTGATACCTATAGCCCTCGACCGGCCAACCCTGATCCCAACTCCGTAATAGGCAAGAAGAGAGTTTGGCGGGGATATCTTGCTTGAGCTCTCAATACTGACTGTAAGGGCAAACTTGTACTACTTATAAAAACCCCTGGATTGCAACCTAAGCCCTGAAAGCCCAAAGCTCCAAACTCAAGACGTCGATGCTCATCTTAAAAGAAGCCCTGAACTGGGACCTGAACCCCAAACCCCTCAACCCCCAAACCCTAAATATCCATAAGCTCTCAATGCTAACCCCGAGACCCCTGGATCCTAAACTTCCCCTAACTCCAGGACCCCTGAACCCTGATCCCTACACCTTAAACCCTAATTCCTAAACCTTACACCCTGATCCTTATAAATCTTAAACCCTAGGCCCTAGGCCCCGGCCGGAAGAGAGAGCCAACCATACGGCCATCGGCTGCAGGAAGGCTTTCCAGCTGCCAGGCGAGGTCCTCCCCAGCTTCTCCTACCTTCGGTTAGTAGGGAATAGGGCTCCTTTAAAGGGATCTACAGGGTTCCTTTAAAAAGGGATCTATATAGGGGTTTAGGGTTCCTTTAAAGGGATCTTTACCTTGGGTTAGTAGGGAATGGAGGAATGGGGTACAATTACATTTACTATTACTACCATTCTTCCATTTCCTACTAACCAATAAAGGTAAGTTATGGGAGGGTTCAGGGGTTTAGGGCTTGGGAGCGTGCTTCAAGAGGTTTAGGATATACAAGGTTTAGTATTCTGTAGCTCCGAAGGGTCATTTAATGGCTCTACAAAGGTTCGGGGCATAGGGTTCTGTAAGACGAGTCGTACAACGGTTCGAGTAAAGTTAACAGGTTATATAGGCTTTTATAAGAGTCTTCTACGAGGCTTTGGTTTTAGGGTTCTGGGTTTACGGCCTTACAAGAGACCGACACAGGTTATACTGTCAGGAGAGGTTTGTGGTCAGGGTAACAGTCCGATAGGGTTCCTCGAATGGGGGGTGCTATAGGTTGTAAGGATTACAGTACGGTTTAAGGTTGTCTTTTGCGATGTGATTTTAACTAGGTCCCTTAGAGAAAAAAAGGGGTGGGATTCCCCATCGGCTGCAATCAAAGGGATCGGGCTAGAGCCTCGGGGGTTTTGGGGGCTTAGGGCTTTCGAGCCCTGGAAGCACTTGGGGTTTAGGAGTTAATGTAGGAGCCTTAAAAAATTAGAATAAGATTTTGGGATCCGAGGACCCCTCTGTGCTTTCGAGGCCCTTGGGGCTTGAAAGACGTATGACCATTAGCCTAAGCACCATGCATCAGCGTCAGGTCATCATGGCTTCGATACGTCCAAAGTATGGTCTCATTATAAGAACCCTGAGAAATGCCGAGCATGGGTTTCGACATTCCTTGTAGAACCGATGGAAACCACCATCAGAAGCTGGAAGAAACCTTGTGAAACCCGACTAGAAGCCCAATGAAACCCAGGTTGGGCTATAATTATGTCCTCGGATACGACCAGAAACCGGACACATTGCTAGGAAATGCGACGAGCTTGGGTCTAAATCCACAGTGTAACCAGCCCTTTTTGCCGTTGCCTTGCCTGACATGCTGGGTTCTTGTTAAGGAGTTTGATTCAACTTCCAATAATGCAGACGCCATTGGATTTGCTATAGATCCCTTTTTTTGGTAGCTCAAAAAGCTCAATTCCTCAACAAGAACCCAGCAGGGGAGCGGGGTGGGGGGCCAGCTAGAAGCCGAGATTGGAGCGGAAGCTGCCGGTCACCTCGTGACAATTTCCTCGAAAGCTCCGCTCCAAACCACCGCAGTGGAAACCGTGAGAATGCCGAAAGCATTTGTACCCTAGAAGCCCAGTTATATATACAAGCGAGTCTGTCAATGCTGTATATACTCTATTCTGAGAAAAATACTGGGATTCAAGGGTAACTTGGCAGCATCGTTTCAGCAAGGGCCAGGAACTGTCGAATTGAATCAGCGTGGCGGTTCAACCATGTGGTACAACATTGCCAGGTAGTCGGACAGCGTTTCGAGCAGGAGCCGTGCGGCAGCAAGCGGCAGAAGGGGACACTACATCGCATCACTGACGTAAACAGCTATAGCTAAACCTCAAATTGCCTCTAGCCCAGTACCGTATAACCCTTTGAATCTTGGTGGAAGCATTGGTGGACCTCACGTTCACCGTAGAAACGCCCTGCTCCACAGGAACGTTGTGACAAAGAGCAGCAGCGAAAGAAGCGACAGCGGAAGAGCAGACACTCCTTCCGCCAGAAGGTACTCCATGCAACCTGTCACCAAAGCTTCGAAGAAGTAGCCGCAGAGCTGAACCAAAACCATGGCCAAGACGACCGAGACCCACTCTAGAGCCCAAGAGGCTCCGATGGAGTAGACACGATCCAAGGTGCGCAGGGCTGCGGCATAAAGGAGCGGCTTTGCCAAGACAGTATCGTAGAAAGTGGCAACTGAGACGAAGACCCAATACTGATCCGTCGAGTTCAGGTAATAAAACATGGGCACCGTCCTGCAGCCAACTTGCTCGCATTGTAGATAGATGTCTGAGATCAGCCAGAGCTGCAAGGGAAGCGCACCCAAGATTGCGAGGCCCAGTGGCAGATGTGAGGGTCGGCCGGTCTCTTCGACGATTTGGCAGCGCAGCTCGTTCCTGACGAAGGTGTTGAAGAGATCTAAGCACATCTCCTCGCTCGGGTAGCTGGTGATGCGCCGCACACTCGGTCTCCTGATCAGGTCTGCAAACTCGGCTAAATTACTCGAGCACCCGAAGAAATCATGTTCACCACAGCTTCGGAGCCTTAGGAAAAATATTCCTTTCGGCGGTCTCTGCGGCACCTAATCAGCTCCACCAGCTCGGGGTCAAAAGTAGCCTCGGGGGGAGACGGGAAGTTCTCGGGCACCTCCACTTCGATGCTCAGCGGCGCATCTTCGATCTCGTCGAAAACCCGTGCAATCTGCGCATGCAGAGCCGTCCGGTCGCTGCTCATGGAGCACTGCGCATTCCGGACGTCGAAGTTGGCAAAGGCATGCAAGATGTCAGCGCTGTACTTAAGCTTGTAAGAGAAGAAGACTGCAGATATCCAGAGGGCTGGAAGCTGAAGAACAACAAAAGGGGCGTTGGAGATGAGACCCGCGACCAAGTAGTCCACAAACGAGCCCGGATGCCATTCGATATTCTCCTCTGCGGTCAGGAGCCGCCCGTACCAGGGCAGCAAGACCCGAGCGGCCAACCATTCGGCAAACATACCTTAAACTACCAAACCCTACTTTTTTGTAGGTTCTTATTATAAACCCTAATATGAAATTTATAGGGACCCTACAAAAAAGTAGGTTTTGGTAGGTTAAGGTACTGCACAGCAGCCACGGCGTAACCCAAGGTTGCAATATGCCTCGGCTGCGGGAGCATGCCGCCAGCCCGGTAAACCAAGCCTGCCCGCTATATTTGCATTAACTTGAAGAAGCGTTTTCAAGGCCTGATATAACAAGTTTCCTATGTGGATGTAAGTCGTCAATAAGCGTAAAGCCTGAACCTCCCTAAACCCTAAGCGCTGTAGCCTTCAGAAGCAGCAAATACTCATTGAAGCAGGCCAGGCCGCGGATAGCATCCTGATCTTCCCTATGGCTCTTGGCAAAGGTCGCAATCCTAGGTATGAGGGCACGCTTATTTTTGTGCTAGAGGCGTGTTACATCGGGAAAACCCACAACTAGAAGGGACAATGGATGCCAAAGGGAACCAGTGGGAGGCCCAGCATCTCTAAGTTGCACCACAAGCGCGAGAAGAGAGTGGGATCCCACACGACGAGGATGCGCGAGGATTGGTGCAAAATCTCTGGTAGGATTGCTATCGCCTCCTCCTTCTCAGCCTGATCCTCTTGATTGATGCAGGCCTTATCGAACCAAACTGATGGAGTCCAGAACTCGCAGGTCAAGCCATGTGCGAAGAAGAAGAACATGAAGAACACGATCAGGGGCAAGTCGACGGTCAAAAAGAAGACCCAAGGAGACAGCGCGATTGAGCCGAGGGTGTCTCGCATATCTTCGGAAGTGCCATCAGCAGAGGCAAGGAGAACCAGGGAGACAACCATCCAAGTCAGCCAGCAGGCCTTTGAACAAGATGCCGCTATCGCATACGACGGCAGCCCTTACTTCTATCCGAACGATAGCCCCGAAACACGACTCAGACTCCATCAAGGGCGATCGGGCCTTCACGGCCATGGAGACATTCAGCTCGTAGCATAAGGCCAGGATCTTCGGAAGAGGCTTCGCGTGCCAGGAATGGCTGATAAAGGCGCCAACCCGGTCAGCGCTCTCCGTGCTCTGCAGGAATGCCTCTAGGGTATAGGGTTTGGGGAGTGATGATGGTGATGATGATAAGGATGAGGATCATGATGATGGTCACTGTGATGGTGATGAAGATGTGTTCATGACCATGATCATGATGGCGATGATGGTGACGATAATGTTGGTGGTGATAAGGAGGATGATTCACTAACAGCTTGCGGGTTTAGGCATCAACAACAAGCTGGTACGTATGCATGAACATGAAGACAACTGGGAAGAACAATGGCAGCATGACTTGTAAAAGAATACGAAAATCGCCGTAGTCAGAACGTGAACATTGTGTTCTCATGTTCACCGTTTCGCCTATGTCAGACTTGTCTTGCTAAACCCAAACCCAAGTTCTCTGTCGGTGGGCGGCAGTGCGAAAGTGCTCTCGAAGCGGAAGCTCGACCATTTTAAATGGCAGCTTCACCCAAACATAGCCGCTGAATGTAGGTAAGTTGTCTTTATCAGAAGCATGCCAACACAAACTCCCCATAAATCAAGATCCAGATGACCCAAACCCAAACCTTAAAGCCTAAACCCTAAAGCCTCCCTCAACCCTGCAAACCCCAGCTCCCGGAGCTCTGGGCTGGCCTGGGCTTTCTCGGCGCTGCTCCCGGGGCGACAGAGCTCCAAAAGCACGGAGAAGGTCCGCGACAAGGACGTCGTGCGCAGCAGCCCCGGGCGGACGAAGCGCACCATCGCTAGGAGGACGGAGGTGCGGGACGGCTGGGGGATTGCGGGTTGCTGGAGGTCGTATATACAATCCGGCAATGCTATGTGGTTCTACGAATCGCAAGCTGCGTCCTTGACGCACTCATGAACAAAGCGTGGCAATGGCATTCACGACAAACAGTGCCTACAACAGTCGCGGTGCTCGTTCAAGTTGCACCGAACTAAGATCGCCTTAGTAACTGACCTACACCAAATTTGGCTGACATTGTAGCCGATAGAGGAGGAGCAATCCTGAGCCCTAAACCTTAAGCCTAAACCTCAACCGTGTACCTTTGGGGCTGGCATCGGGGTAGCGCTCAAAGTGTCGAACCCTTTTAGTAATCCTTTCAGTATGCTTTACATTAGCCCTTGCAGCTACCCTTCAGTAGCCCCTATTACAGGCAACCCTTCTTCTGGGTTCTTGTTAAGGAACTTAATTAAGCTACCACAATAGGGAGCTACAGCACGTAATATGGTTTCCGCATTATGGTAACTTAAGCTAAATCCCTTTTATAAGAGCCACCCTTATAGTAACCCTAAATCCTAAATTTCCCGCCGGTTTCCGCGCTCCCCAACCTCCCGGAAGGCGAAAACCCTGAGGGGAGCGGAGAGCCGTCGCGCCAGGCGCTGGCAGTGGGCCTGCGACTGAAGGTTTAATTAGGGGTTTGAGGATTGGGTTTAATTTAGGGTTTCGGGTTTAGGGCTTGGGGATTAGGGATTGGGGGTTTGGGGATTGGGGGCTATGCGCGCTTCAGGGTTAAGGCCTTTGGATTTAGCGGTGTTGAGGTTTGAATTAGGGGCGTCGAGGTTTCGCGGTTCAGGGTTTAGGCTTTTGGGTTTAGCGGGTTTGGGCCTTCGCTTCTTCTTGCAGCAAACTAGAACTACCTGTTAAGCCCCTCTCGAAAAGCCTCCCCTTCGGAAAGAGCCCAACAAAAAGATGTGTTTGTGTGTTTGTGTGTGTGTTAGGGCTTTGGGGTTGGAGGTTTGGGCTGCCAGCCCAATGATCACTGCTTGTTCAAACAATGTACTCCTCATAAGGTGCTTGTAGGTATTCTTCTTCAAGCTATGATACAGCCCCTACTCCAGAAATAGGACAAGTTAAGTTGAAACTAGGGCTTATCATGCCCATGCTGCTGGTTTGGCTAGAAATGATCTGACAGCAGTTTAGGAAGTGCGGGGCTTAGTTAGGCTAGGGTTCAGGATGTTTGGGGGTCCGAGGGATTCAAGCAAGGCACGGGTATTGATTTTGGCACTGGTAGTTGTAGTCAGTGATAGTGGTAGTAGTATTAGTTGTAATAGTGGTAGGAATAGGAGCAGCAGCGTGTAAGTGGTGCATTCCATGGGCTAAGTTAAAACTTCACAGTGTTTCAGTCCCTGAATCATTTAAACCCCAAGCCCCTAGGACCCACAACCTCAGCCCCACCAACATGATCCTTTGATGGAACAAGAAAATCAACCCTCTATGCGCTGTAACACCTTCACAGCACCTGCTTCTCTGAAGACCACACGTTAACTCCCCACCCTAGACCTTGAAGGGTGTGGGGTTTCGGGCTTGAGGGTTAAGACGTTCTTGCCACGCGACTCGCAGCCCTGGAATCCCACATCATAAAATCGAACCCAAAAGTGTCACCTCAACATCTCTGCGGGGGTGGCGTCCAGTCCAAACACCTCTGAGCTGCAGAAAAGTGCTCTCAGAAACTTTTGGGAAGGATTTTATGGGCTCTACGATGAATGTTAGCGGTGTTGCTTACTCGGGTGTCATGTCGGCTTTCACGAAACTCCGAAACTCGGGACTCCCCATAATGGATTTCAAGTTTGGGGACCTCAAAGAAGGACTCCCCCCCAAGAATCGATCTAAAGAATAGGATATTTGCTTGCCATAAGGCCCCTAAAAATGTGGGTCGAGAGACTTTCTCGGGGCTCCCTAATGACAGGTAAGGGCCGCTCGCAAGGCTCCCTTTGAGGACGGAAGGTTTCGCGTGTAGGGCTTAGGGGGCCCGGGTCATGTAAAGAAGGCTCGGACTGTCGACTCTTCTAGCTCGAAGGAGCCGCGGGCACAGAGCCGACAGGGGAGGAGATGAGACATGCCGAAAGTGTGATCTCATGCCTCGAGACCGTCGGCTACTTGGAAAGAGGACGCACCATGTCAGTAATATGGGGGGCCTCGATATTCAGACCAGGGTTTTTGGGTATACCAAGGAACATTAGTGGTATTGGTTCCGGCCCCTTTTGTAACAGAGGTGGCGCGAAGATGGACATGATAAAAACCTTGACGGCAGGTCGCAGGACGAGACGTCAAAGTCAAAGAGCGTGGTTTAGGGTTTAGAGTTGGTGTTGCATTTTTTGTAGGGTCCACGATTGTATCGTTTACGGTTGATCAGAAACGGATTTGGCCTAGGGCTTTGGTGGGACAAAGGTCTGCAAGCTTCTGAGTGCTGCGCCAGGCAGGAGGTCATCTATCGGAATCACCACACCCAGGGGATCCTCGCGAGTATGAATTTGTGAGAGTCTCCAGGTTCCTTTGAGGGTTCCTCTTTCATGGTTCTATACGACTCGTTTCTTGTTTTAAAGGTGCATCGGCCCTTTTCTGTGCTTGCAGGAATATACTCGTTTAGGCTGCAGGGGTTTCGACGGAACGGTTCACCTTGATGGAGCCGCTGGATCTCTGCTTCCAGTGTACTTAGCCCTCGGTCCTATAGGTATTGGACTTCCATGCTGGTCTCTGTCCTAAAACAGCCCATGGTTCAGAGCGTAAATATACGTATGATATAGGTTTCAGGGTACCGGTTTGTCGAGTCTAGAGCGCAAAGCTTTACAAGCTTCAGTGGTTTATAGGATATAAGAGGCCGAAGACGGCTGCGTAGATGTAAGATCACATCAGATTTCTTCGCAGTCCCACCAAAAAAACGAGAGCCGCAAGATAGAGGGCCTCTACAGTATTCGGACTATGAAAAGGGCTCGAGCCCTCCGGTTTCCGACCCCGCAATGCCCCGGCGCCTCGCCGGATAGAGCCGTCAGTTGCAAGAGCCGCTCTGCGCCCTTCCTCGACACGGCGTAGGCCTGGGAAGAAGGAGAGGCTTGGGGGTTTAGGGTTTAAGGTTGAGAAGTTTGGGGGTTTGAGGCTCGGGCTACCCTAAACCCCAAAAAGCTGACACCTGCAGCGTATCGGGATTTGATTAAGTTTGATAGTAAGGATTTCTGGTTTGCTGTGGCTCACTAGGGGCTCAGGTTTAATGGTCTGGAGCTTCTAGGTGGGGTCATCCTGGACTTGATACGACGGCGCGTTGAGACCCAGGATTCCTAAGCCTCTGCACAGCCGTGGAGCCTCTTGGATAGGTTTGGGTTCCCTGCTAGGGTCCGGGAGCTCTTTGCATTGCAGAACAGGGCCAATAGCATACTGTGACGAGTATGAGGTGTACTATACTTAGGGTTCTAGTTAAGTACTATATGCTTCCAGTGACCTTAAAGTCAGGCCCCAATTTGCACTGCATCTTCTTGGGACGGCAGCTTAGTTCCTGCCAGGCTTTTCAAACTTTGGCGCATCATGGTGGGGGGAGTCTCCCCGAAGGCCATATGCGGGGCCTGAATAGATGGAATAGGTGAGTAGGCTCTCATAAGGGGCAGGGGCCTTAGCCTCCTTTTGACAGTTTAGGGATGCTTGGTCGCACATGACCAGCTTTGCGGACCCCAACACTAACGAAACAACTGCGGACCTGCAATCGCACTGCAAACTGCAGTAGCTGTACAGGCAATGCACTCACGGCGATGCAGAGACTCTCCCAAAATGCCACAATATGAGGATCTTCATGCCGGATATCTGCGCTCCCTTGTCCTGACCTCCTGCTCTGTGATAGAGGTCAACATTGGCCATGCAAGAACCAAGACCCTATACGATTCAACACCCTAAAACCCATTTAAAACAAAAACTGCATACGTATAACAGACCCTACAGCACTCTGCGAAAGCCCTAGAGCACAGCACCACAAACACCCCCCTGTAAGACCTAAAACCCTAAACCCCTAAGTCCCCAAAATCTACACCCCTAAACCCTAATTAAACCCCCCCAGCAACCCCAAGACCCAGGGCCCCTACGTGGAGGCAGGTCGAGAAGCCCGCGTCTACCAAGTCGTGCTCTCCAGGTAGCGGCCGGTCTTCACCAAACCTGCGGGCCCTTAATAATTAGAATAGGGTTTTGGGGCCCGCAATACTATAGTTATACTAAGGAACCTCGAAAAGAGTATAGTCTTCACCAAACCTCCGGGGGAGGCAAAAGTCGGACTGGAATGCTGTACATCGTAATGTATGTGTTTTTTACATCGATGTAACGAAAATATATTACAATGTACAGCATTCCAGGCCAAACCTCGGGGGAGGCAAAAGTCCTGCAAGGGTTCAGGGTGTTAGGGTTCAGGGTCTTAGTTAGGGGTGCTTTGTGACGGGTTTTGTAACAGGTTTCTATCAGGATTTTGCAAGGGCTCGATACAGAGTGTACCAAAGAAGCAATTGCAAGGGAGAGGTTCCTACACATGTCCCAATAGGGTTTCATGACGGGTGTGGAACAAATGTGTACGGGATTTATGAAGGGAAGTTAACGATGACATACTTTCGAACCGTTGTTAGACTAGGTCTAGGCGTCTTCAGGGTTGTGTGGTGGCTTCTGGTGAGGGTCTCATGGTTGGCCCTGGTCTTGTTTTGTGGTGGCTGTAAACCCAAACCCTATAAACCCTAGACCCCAGACCACATAAGCCCTAAACCCCGAACCCTACAAACCCTAAACCCTCAAAGTTTGTTGGGCCTCAAACTTCAGGAAATCAGTGGATTAATGTAGGGGCCTTAGTAATTAGCTAGGGTTCTGGGGGCCCTTATACTACAGTTATAAAAAGGAGCCTCCAACATAGTATAAGTAACTACTGACGCCCCTATGGTAGCTTAGGTCTGCTGCCCTGGAGCTCATGGCTCTGAAGTCCCTTCGATCAAGCATGGCTCTC